CAGATCAGCAGTGCCACGTCAGCAGTGCCACGTCACAGTGCCACGTCACAGTGCCAGATCAGCAGTGCCACGTCACAGTGCCAGATCAGCAGTGCCACGTCAGCAGTGCCACGTCACAGTGCCAGATCAGCAGTGCCACGTCACAGTGCCAGGTCACAGTGCCACGTCAGCAGTGCCATGTCACAGTGCCAGATCAGCAGTGCGACGTCAGCAGTGCCAGGTAACAGTGCCACGTCAGACTCAGTGCCACATCAGCAGTGACGTCAGACAGAGCCACATCAGCAGTGCCACGTCAAACACAGTGCCACGTAAGCAGTGCCACATCAGCAGTGCCACGTCAGACACAGTGCCACGTCAGACAAAGTGCCACGTCAGCAGTGCCACGTCAGCAACATGACGGGCCTGCCAGGGCAACTGCCCAACGAGTCCCTTGCAGCCTACAAGCAGCGGTTCCAGGCTCAGATAGAGGCTGAGGAACAACGCCAGCTGGCAGCCGAGGCTGCCCGCGTACAGGCTGAAGAGGCAGCAGCAGCAGAACAACTGCAGCTACAGGCCGATGCAGACGCAGATGCCCAGGCTCGCCGCAAGGAAGCCCAGGATCTGTTGCAGCGGCATGAAGCCAACAGCATCGACAGACTCAAGTACAGGCATTTTGAACCGAACGACGACGAGGCAACACCGGAAGAGAAGCACAAGGAGTTCCTCTCCAAACTCGTGATGCAGTTGTTGTATGCTTAAAACTACCAACGGTCAGAGTTGGAGAGACAGTACCAGGACCTGACGCAACAGCATCAGGAGTTGGCACAGCTCCGACGCATGGTGCAGAGCCACGAGGATGCAACTCGGGCACTCAATGCCCGATTGCTGGACCTGGAACAGGCTGTACCAGGACCAACTGCTGGGGCTTCCAGCAGTGCACCCTCTAGCCGCCAACTGGAGACCGCATTGACCACGCAGTGGCAATGCTCGGCGACATCAGCACCTTCGCTGCGCCGACCACCACCATCAGCAGTCAACTGCATACATTGAAGACCGAGCTCCAGCAGCTGCAGACGACGAACACGGATGGCAATCCGAAGATGTATATGATGCCAACTTTCAATCTGGAGAGGTTCGACGACTACACGCAGCAGGATCCGGTCCTCTGGTGGGAAGCATTTACAACGCAACTCAAGATTCTTCCCGTAGCCAAGCATGCGTACATCGGCGCCATGTTCCTGAACTCAAAGGGCGGATGCCAGACCTGGTTGAGCGACCTGGCAACCTCCCACGGCGTGGACGTACCAGACTTGAAGGACCAAATCACATGGGAGGAACTGACACGGTTGTGGTAGAAGCGGTTCATCGTCGACGACGCGCCGACACTCGCCATCAACCGTTTGTTCACCATGTCACAAGGCAACACTGCAACACGGGACTAGCTCACGGAGTGGCAGAAGATTGCGGCAGTGCCCAATCTGGACCTGCCGTTCACTCATCTCAGACGTGAGTTCTACAACAGATCCTGCGCTGCATTGAGCCAGGCTCTTGGTGATCGCGAGCAGTACTCCACTTTCGCCGAGATTATCGACAAGGCGAGAGAGATCATCAAGACCAACAGGTCAGCTGCACACGAGAAGTCACCATGGCAGCCGACCTATGTGGAGAAGGTACGAACTGGTCCGCGACAGCAGCACTTCGCTGCAGTCCAGCAGGACAGTGGAGATAACCCAGCAGCCACTCCAGCATCAAGTGACGGAGATCAGGTGGCTGTTGTCCAGCCGCGCAGCAACAACAAGTCCCACAACAATGGGAAGGCGAAATCCGCATCGCAGGCCGGAAATGGACAGCCAGGACAATTTCCATGGGTCAAGTTTGGCTTGACCGAGGCGGAGTACAAGGTCCGCG